GTGAACTGATTTTATACCAAAACATTCTTTTAATTAAGACAAAACCCCAATTATCTAAATTTTTAATCATAAAAAATTTCCGCGCTTTTAAGCGCGGGTCGAAATCTAGTAATAATTAACACTTTAAGCTCACTATAACTTTGCCAGTTTTCCAGAACCGAATATCATATGTGAGATGCGACTAGTTGATGTTTTAACCTAATGGAGACTCTGTGTTCTTGCCATATTGAATATATTCGGTTTGATTTATACTACTATATTTTTTTGGAAATTTTTTTCTTAGGCAAAAAAATTATAATATTATCCTATTAGGGTAATTCCAATTTTTTATCATTTTTTCCTATAATACCCTTCTCTATTTATAAAAATAAATCAAATAAATAGTTTTATAAATAAAAGAAATAGAAAAAAATAGGAACTACTAGTGAAATACGTATATCAAACTAGAGGTTTTTTTTTGTTGAAAAAATGTTTGAATCAAAAATTTCATAACTCGTTCAACGGTTAGTGTACCTCATATACGTAAACTGAGGTAGAGGCAATTGCTCAGATACCCTTCTACAAAAAAATTAAATCACTTATATCCTCTATTAATCTTCATACCCTTCACCATTTAATGAAAATCTCAAATAAATCATTCCCAAGCGATCAAAACTAAACAAATTCCCCCCCCCCCTATGGATCAGTGAACCCATGGGTATATATTTAAATTCTATATGTTTCAAATTCGGAAAAAAATATTTTAAAATCATTTTTATCATATTTTGATGATTTTCGCAAAAATATGAAAAACCGGTTTTCGATTTTTGAAATATTTTTTTATCAAATTCTATAAATCAAATAAAAAATATTAACATTTTCAGTTTAATTTTATGATTTTTTGTTTGACATATAAAATTAAAAGAAAAAAGTGAGGATATTTTAGCTTTGTAAAATAGATACAAGGGCGTCTGAGACAATTACTCACTGAGGTAAGCTAAAAATTGGAAACTAAAATCCACGTTTTTTAATTAAATTTACAAAGTGTAGATTACATCATCTATGAAAATTAAAGTAATATAAAAATATTTGATTACACACTCTTCCCTTTACATATCGCTCTAAAACATTTTGAACATGTACTCTACACATTACTTTTTAATCTAAAAATTGTAGAAATTGTGTACAAAAAAGTTCATTGTGTTCAACCTATAATAGAATACTAGATCTCGACCCGCACAACCGTGCGGGTATTTTAATACGAAAATATGTAAAATTATATAATATTCCATCCGTTTCAAATTAGATAATGTTTTAAAAGATTTATTTTGTTTCAAAATATAAGATGTTTTGAAATTTTTAGGGGTATCTTGAGGTTTTAAGATTACTTTTAACCATATTGTAAATTGTTCAACCAATAAAATTTTAATTTTTTTAGTAATTGGTTGAATGATTTTAATATTATCTTTAAAAATAATTTTGTAAAATAATTTAATTTTGTTTTTTTAATGATCCAAAAACATCATATATTAAGAAACAGAGGGAGTAAAATTTATCAATAAATAATTATAATTTGTAGTCTATATACTATCCAGTTTTATAATAATATTTACGTGGCTTATAATATTATTAATATAAAATTTATAATAATATTTGTAACAATTTTAAAAGACATTATTATGTAACATTTCTAATTTATATATTTTCTTTTATTTCTAAATTTAAAATATATGTAAAAAGTAAATTAAGTTGGACCTACATAAACAAAATTTTGGGATATTGTTAAAAGTAGTTCACATAATTTTAATTTTTTTGTATATAAATAAAAAAAAACAAATTAAAAATTTTAATTATATTTTATGATAATTAAAAATTTTAATCAAATAATTTTTGAAACTATATCTCGAAATGATTCTAAAAGATTTTTAAAAGATTTGATAGAATTTTCTTAAAACTATTTATTTGTATTTCAAATAAAAATCAAAGATATGAAAAGATATTATAATGATGTAATGTAAAATTTTGTAAAATTTCTAAGATAAACTAAAAAATCACACATGAAGCGAGTCATGACTTCTCTTTTAATATAATAGATGGATCCTACGGATAAATATGAGAAGTTGCAAAAAAATGGGAAAACTATTTTGAAATATTATATTTCCATATCTGAAGAAACGAATTTTGCCAAAAAACTACAAAATATATATTTTCCCTTTAATTTATTTTAATAATAAAAATTAAACAAAAATGCTATAAAGTCGTTAACAATTTTTATTATTTAAAATCATTAATAGTCATATATATCTTAATCACATTAGGTAATTTTGTAGGTTTTATTTAAAGAAAAAATATATATATAGAATATTTAGTTTGATATGTCTTACATGAGACCAACGGGCCTTGTTTTAAAACTATGTTTTATATAAGGTATTCTAGAATCCTTTTAAATTGAAATAGAAGATATAGAGAGGTGCCACGTAGGATGAAGTTATTTTTTTAATTAATACAAATTTAAAATTACAACTTTTCAAATGTTTTTCAGTTAATATATATGAGATTACTAACTTTCCATAATTCAAGGAAATAGTTAAAAAAAAATATAAATGTGGCTTCTTCCAACTAACTACCAGTCTGTGTTTTGAAAGAGATATAATGTTATTTTATTCCAAATATAATGAATAATCCCTCCCTTTCATATTGATTATTGTTGTAAAGAAATTTTTTCGTTACAAAATAAATGTCGTTTTTGTTTCAATGCAAAATTTATTAACTTATTCTGTAATTTATTATTCTATTGATTGAAATATGGTTAGGGGTATATGTAATCGTGTTTTTATATAGAAAATTTACAAAATTAATTGTTTCTTAAATCCGTGTACACAACCTAAAATGACACTTATTATGAAATAGTAGGAGTAAAACACAAACCAATAAAAGAGTACTAATATAAGTAATTGTTTAAAAACTAAAAACCAAAACAGAGAAAAAATAAAATATATAATAATAATAATAATAATAATAATAATAATAATAATAATAATAATAATAATAATAATAATAATAATAATAATAATAATAATAATAATAATAATAATAATAATAATAATAATAATAATAATAATAATAATAATACAAAACCATGACAAGAAAAAATGAAGCTTTTTCAACTGTTGTGAGAGAATGTTTCTTTTTGACATAGAATTGATCCTCAACATTATTGTCTTGCTTTTCTTGACTTTTTCTTTTAGACAAAGGAGTTCTTGAAGAACAACCACAACCTCCAGAAATATCTTCTGAGGACGGCAACATTAAGAAGCAAAGCTGCAAATTCCTATATCATTTCGCGGTCATCATCAGGCAAAAGAACAACATACTGATTACTAAGAGCTTTTTTCTTTGATGTTATCAGAATCAATTAACTTTCGAAAACGCATTTTCTAGAGGAAGCAAAAATTGATTAGAAAAGCTTTGAAGACACTTACTTTAACAATGATAAACAACATCCTCCTCCTATATACGAGAACAGCTCTATTTTTTGCTGAACCTAGAATGTATTTTAAAAACCGGTTCAATCGGTCAAACCGGATTTTCTATTCTTAAAAATTTAAATATATATAAAGTATGCTTATATATAATATATTCCCATAAACCTAAATATATATTCAGTAAACAAGATTATGTAAAATTGAAAGAGATAAAAATCAAATTATTGATTTTTCAAATCACTGTATTTATTTATTTTTATAACTAAAGTCTCTGATTTTGTGAATATGTTTAAGATAAGAATAATATATGAAAGCCAAACATATATTGGTTTACATTCTTTCTTAAAAAAAAATAGTATTAAATAGAAAAAAAAATAGTAATAGTTAAACATTGATTGTGAAAAAATTAAATTTTGATAACAATTAAAAACACATTAATGTTATGTTAATTTTTAGGACAAGTTTTAAAGTTGACTTGAGTCACCGAGTTTTTATCTGTTTTTCTCAAATCCAAATTTTGAACCAAACCGCACTTAGTTTTTTCACCGAGTCACACTCGGACCGGTTGACCAGCCGATCCGATCCGGTTTTTAAAACCATGGTTCTTAGACATGTGGATGGACACTAATATCTTTAAAAAGTACCTCACCGTAGAGTTGAGAGCCTGAACGACGAACAATCAATTCAGCATTTTGCAATCAACTTGAACATAAAACCATAAGCCAATAATGTCAACAACCGCGATATTACTTTCGTGTCTAACCATACAAATAAGTTTGTTGATGGAAGTAAATTTTTTTATGAAAATATCTTAATATATCATAATATATGAAATGCATACAAAGTTATATAATAAACCAATACTATCAAAAGATTATACCGAACTGAAATTTACAAGTATGTAAACATTGGTTGCTCATAAAGTATACAATGCCAAAAAAATTAAGGGTCCGTGTTATACGCTTTCATTGCTTGATACCTACAAAACAGAGAGCTACTTCAGCTTGTGCTTGAAGCTCTTCAAGAACCTTCACAACTTCCTCACGGCTAAACCCAATCTCACTCTTCTCATCTCTCAGCATTTTCCTCAACCTTCATATCAAGAAACAGACAGTATATCAAACCAATCAGATTATCTGTTTCTCTAAAACAAGACTTGAAGTTGAGTGATAAACACAAACCTGTGTACAATGGATGTGTCTCCATGTCCTGTACAAACTATAAACATTGCATTTGTTGGTAATGCAGTGTGAAGGGCATCCACTCTTTCATCCATTTTCTTCAAAATCTCTTTAGTTTCAGCTGAGACTTTGCTTTTGGGACGTTTCTCAGAGGCTGAACACGTCAGTAATGAGATCATTTTCGCTAGTCTTGAGTTTAGTTTCTCCGTATCATCCGCTCTGGTCAGAAAATGTGTGTTGAGTTCCGAGAACTGTGTCCAAACGAACTGTGACCGCCTGTTCTTTACCTCTTTCATGGCCTTTGAAAGTGCTTCATCATCATCAGACACTGGAATTGCATTTGATGAGTCAGAAGCATACCGTTTCACGATGTTGATGTTGTCTACAATAGAAGTGGCTTTCCCACTCTCATTCAAAACGTTGAGGAGTCTCTTTCTTATCATCTCAGGTGGTGAACCAAACTCAGGTCCTAAAGAAGAAGGTAAATCAATTCATAGGACACAGAAGAAGAAGAAAACATGAATCTCTTACCGTATTTGATCTTCATTAGTGCCAAATCCATCGCTGCTTTTGCATCTTCGACGCTGTCATGTCCTGTTTCAGACATTTGTATCTCTCTAGCGAGAAACTTCTTCGCTAGGATCCGAAGTTTGGTTTTATAAGAACCACCTCGTGGATGCTTGTATAGTACTGCAGTGTCAATCACCAGGTTATGAGATATCTTCAGAGAAACCAAGTCATTCTCCAAAGAGTGTCCTACTAGTATTGTCTCTTTAAAGACCAGCTTTAAGAACTCTTCCTGAATATCTCTAATGGTTGTTGTAACTCCCTCCATCATCTCAGCTGTTATTCCGCTATACCTGCAAACCGATTCCAAACCAATACTATTATAACTTTGTAAACCAAACCAAACCTAACCAGACCGAGCATATCACAATGGTTTACCTTGTATTGTAATCAGTAATGTGATTTGTTGGCTTGACTAACTTATCTAGTAGAATCTGCAATACCATGGAAACTTAGTAAGAGTAAAGAAGAGATCTTAACAAACTTGAATACAGTAAGGATGAAGAAGAAGATACCTGTCCTTCTATATCAACCAGTGTCACTCTTGTCAATTCAAAACCATCCTTTGTAATACACTAGAGTGAAACAAAAAGAAAATAAATAAACCTCTTAACCATATTTGTTTAGATCACAAAGCATCATTATTAATAGGCTAGAGAACATAGTTGTTTACCATCTCACAATCAAGAGCTAAAATCTCATGGAGGCATGATCCTGATGGTGCAGGAAGTGTAGAAATAAACTCTGCATGACAAATGAAAAGAGAATAATCAAATGATGTGACACAAAGACAAAAAGGTTAAAGAATAAACATGGTTAAGCTGTTAATCTTAAATAGCTTGAGCTCTAACCTGTCTCAAACTTGTATCCATTTTGTTCCATTTCTTTTCGACTTAGAGTGTAGTATGCAACAGGGAATGGTATATCTTTTGTGAGCTCACTAAAGGCCTTCCCCGTCAGGTTACATGCTTCTACAAAGCCAAAGATGTTATCTTGTTAAGACCTTACATAAGAAGAAGGCATTGTGTTAAGACTCAGTTTACAAAATTTTTTACTTACCTGGTGGTTCCATTGGACTAGTAGCAGTTTTCTTCTTCTTACCCCTGCAAGTAAGTATTGTATCTATTGTCTTCATCTCATCAACTGCACAGCTAATAAACACAATGAGAATGAAAATAATCAAAAGATGTTGTTATACAAACAATTAACTAAGACAATTGTATTCAAATAAGCAAAAAGAAACGAAACTTACACCAACCTCAAAGCTAAAAGAGGTATAGGATTGCCACAACATGATTTCAACCTAGAAAGTGCTTTGGACTGTGATAAGTACAAATCTGCATCCAATCCAGGGAGGTAGAGCAAAACAACCTTTGGAATTAGAGGCTTATTCTGCAAACCATATTCATTTGAAATAATCATTTATACTTCTTCACAAAAACATTATAAAACTTCAGAACTTTCTCAAACAACCAAAACCGTAAAGACAACAACATATGTGTAATAAACACAACATACAAAGAAAAAAACCCAATTCCAATCTAAACCATCAACACAAACCCAACAAAGTTTCAATCTTTATTGTTCATTAAACCTTTCAAAACTTCACAAAAACATGTATATTTTAATAATAAAACCATAATAACATTAAATTTATTTTGTTCATTAAACCTCTCAAAACTTCACAAAAACATATAAAGTTTCAAAAATTTTTATAATAAAACCATAAAGACATCATATGTGTAATACCACATACAAAGAAAATGCACCTCTAAGCTTAATCATCAACACATAATCAACAAAGTTCCAATCTTTTTTTGTGGGTTCATACCTTGATGAATACCCAAGAGGGCATATAGCCTTCACCAAGAACCCATGTCACAAGTCCTTGAACATCCTGTTCAAACCACCAATTATCAATATTTTACATTCTCATTACTCCAAAAAATAAAAGTTATAACATTTCAAAACACCCATTATCAATATCACAATTCTCATTACTCCAAAAAGTAGTTATAACATTTCAAAACCATTATCAATATTTACATTCTCATTACTCCAAAACAAAAAAGTTATAACATTTGGAAACATACTTGTAAGTTCAAAGTTATGTCCGGAGTGTTGAAAACGAGTTCTGGTTTCGCCTGCCAAGAGAAAAGACGAATCTAAAAATCAGAATTAAACCAATCAATCAAAAGCATAAGAAGAAGCTTTAAGGGAAATGTGGTGTTTACTTACTTCGGGTCCATATATATCGAAGAAACCGTTCTCTGTATTGATCTTTTCTCCATCAACAAGATTGTCTTCTCCCACGGCGTCGTGCTTTCGTTTCAAAGATGACATCCTTAAAGATGGGGAAGAGGTTTAGGAGAGATCACCGAGAGAGGGATTGAGACAAAGCACACTTCCGTTATCAGCCGCCGGAGTTCGGACCAATGTTTAGGTGTTTTAACCTTTTGGTCGTCCGTAAAATTCCAAATAACCTTTTATTTATTAGGGAATAAATAATCAACCTTTTTTTTTGAAAAAAAAAACTTTTATACTACAGTGAAAAATTTAATGAATATTATTATACACAAAAATAATTTATCAAAATTTAGCTAGATCAAAAACTTAATTAAAAACATTTTTTATTAATTTATTAAGGAATTGTGTTATAATATAATTATCGCTTTAAAAAAACAATTGTATTATATAAAACTTGTATTTTAAAATTTCATAAGTCTAGTGGTTTGCCTCATATGGTTTGATTTATTATTGTATAGCTTCAAACTAGGATAAGAACCGCGTCTTGCACGGGATGAAATTGTTATTTTCATTCTGTTTTAGGATAATGAAACAATAGTTCGGTTTCATTTGGATTGGGGTGTTCAATCCGGATATCGATTTGTTTTTGTTCGGTTCTGTTTTTTTGGTTTTTGGTATTTCGGTTAGTGTGTTTCAAAATAAAAAAAGTATTTCGGTTAGTAAAATATAACTACTATTCTAAATCTAATTTACTTCGGTTCGGTTCAGTTTATATACCGTCGATTTTTATTTTATTCGATTTTTATACCCAAAAACATAAATATTTAGTTTGAGATCATATCATATATTATACGAATTTAGAGTCATGTCGTCAAAAAGTCATTTATTAAAAAATATTATATATTTAAATAAAAAAAAATCCTTCTATCATCTAATAAAATAATCAAATCTAGAATTAATATCAAAGCTCTAAATTTTGAAAAAAAAAAAACAGAAGCACGAAATGAAAACAGGTTCCACAACTTTTTTAATCTTTTATTTAACATCACTAAGAACCATTTTAATGGTTTTAGAACCGGCAGCTTACTATTATTTCCAAAATTGAATTACTTTGACCTTAGTATTCACATAGTTTTGAAGGGTTTCAACTGGACGCTAAATTAACACAGCTAATTTTCTTGGTTTAAATTGTTAGCTGATTATATATATATTATTTAATTTGAATATTTTTAAATAAAAATCTATATTAATAAAATTTTATAATCATTTGTATCTTGTTATCACAGAATAAATTAATCTATTCATCACAATAATTTCAAAGTGGGATTTAAATTTTAATAATTTATAGCCGTTTTAAGAAATTCAAAATATAACATATAAGAAAAAATCTTTTTTATTATATGGTTAATGTGATTGTTTAATATTTTTGATAATATAAAATTAAACAAAAAGAGCTAAGATACAAAAACTGTTATCAAATATTTATTATTTATAATCATTTTTTTGTCACAAATACGTTAATTATATTAGGTAAATTCGTAGTTGTTATTTAAAGAAAGTGCGAGAAGTTTTTTTGTACACTATTTATCAATTTAATAGTTAGTCTAATAAAAATATAATATAAATTAATATGGACCAGCCTATTTTCTAAATTAATATATAAGGAATGTTACACATTTGATCATTAATTTTAACGTAATAATTTTAACAGTTTTAGTAATTTATTGTCGTGTTTTAAAATTAAAAATATAACATATACGAAAAAATCTAAATTTTAATTTTATAACTAATTGAATTGTTTACTTTATTTCAATAATATAAAATTAGATAAAATTGATGGAGGAGATATATATTGTTATCAAATCTTTATTATTAGAATCATTAATTATCATTTATGTAGTAGCCATATTTGGTAATTCTGTCGTTTTTATTTAAGGAAAGAAATTTAAATAATTAATATCATATGATATCATATGATAACACTTTGCTTTATAGTATTAAATGTTTCTAGTGAGATATAAAAATTGAATTGGACCAACATGTTTTCCAATTTGAATGTAAGGCTCACACATAAGCAAGGAGTTTTTTTTAATTTTTACAAAATTGAGGTTACATCTTTTCAAATGTTCCTCAATTAATATATGCAGCATAATGTATGTTGCTAAAATAAAATAAAAACTTAACAAAACAAAATACTTAAAGTTATTTTACGTTGTTTCTTATTATTACAAATTTACAAAGTTATTATATGATTATAAATCTCTCAAACAATATCCTCTTTCAAAACTTCTAACAAGTTTTAATTAAAACTATCATGTATGTTTTTTCTACAAATCCTTTCAAGAAACACCCACTCTACTAAAAGATGTAAGCCATGTTAGAGTGGATGACTTATTCAAGTTAAATTGCTCCATTCATGGAAGCAATATACAAGTTCTAACCGAACTGGTGTCATCACATAACAAAAATGTTTAGATAGAAACTTAAAAAGTAATAAATTATTCTTGATGTCTACGGATCACCATAAGCCTCACAAATAGTACATCGTGACAAGTCACACATATGTTGAAAACACATCAAAACCAATTGCTACATTGACATTATATAGGAAAAACATTCATTTTGAAATGTAGTTTTATGCTTTTATCTGCCTCTGGTTCTTTTCTAATTTTATAAAATACATTTTGGAAAACCTTATGATTAGGTATGACCGTATGGGCGTTCGGGTAATATCGATTATTTTTTGTAACACTTCCTAGGGCTTATTTTAAGAAACTCTTAAATTCGTATCGAGATCGAATATAACACATCAGTTTCGATTTGGATTTAGATTATACTGAAGTTACTGCATATCATTTGGCTTCGGGTTTTAGTGTATCGGTTTCGGATTAACTGAAGTAAAATTCAAAGAAAACAAATAAACATAAGACACTTAACTTAAATTATGAATCACAATTGTTGAGATTTGATTTATTGATACTCGTTTTTGTGACGCCAAAGAAATAGAACAAGATCTAAAGATTTATAAATATATAGAAATTACTGAAATTGTCATGTCTATGTTATTAAATGATAACATTAGACAAATATTTACAAATTGATCACAGTGATAAGTGAAATATGAAAACTCACATAATATATAATCATAGCAACACAAACTTTATAAAGTAAGATGAACTTTTAAGAATTAAGATACATGTCTCTCAAACTTTGGAAATAACAAAACGTGTCTTGGAAATTTCCAACTTCATGTAATACATGTATATACTTATCTACATAATATATACACTTCGGTTATTTCGGATTCTAATTCGAGTTTCGGATTAAACCGAATCTATACCTAATAACTAAAGTATCAGCATACTAAAATCGATTGGGTATTTTGATGGATCCATAACATAACCGATCGAATTTAGGTTTTTTGGTTCGGGTTAAGTTTTGGATGGATAATATGTCCATGCCTATTGATAAAGGTTGTTCATAATAATTAAAAAATAATTGTCGGCCTGCCAGAAAATATGCCAATAAGGCTTGTAAGAGGTCTACAACAAAGTCGATTAGATGGGCTTTTTTAACGTTGAGTCTATATGCTTAGCTTAACTAAGGATTATCTCATCGTATCATCTTAAATTTACGAAACATGTCATGTCACTTGAATGGCCTATTGGGTGCAAATTCTCAGCTGAACTTACAGTTTATTTACCACTCAGTTTCTCCTCGATATACTTTGTTGCAAATTGATTCACGTTTTGTGTTTTGTGGACTCTCTTTTTTAAGAAACGAAAGATACACTACAGAGATTTTCTCATTGAAATGTGACTTCCAAGTTGCATGCCCACACGAGGGACCATCCGCTAGAACCTGTAAGCTTCAGAGCTATATTCGAGAATGAGCTTTTTTGAAGTTGCCATGAAGCTTAAACGTAGACTCCTGGTGATAAATGCTCTTGTTCAAGATCGACTAAAGCAGAATGATATAAGATTATTCAGTATGTTTTGTTCGACTATCTTCGTTTTATTGCATTAGACTTGTGATCTGATCTCAACTTAGAAACAACATGAGGATTGCTATCTCAACTTCTTGGTGTCAGAAGCAAAACACTAACCATGGAGCAAATTATGGCTACCTTTTTGGCTCGGTTTGTTTGCTATAAATTCTAAATGTTTATTCGTCGCCTAGTGTCATATGATTTAAACGAATCTGATACGCCTCCTAAGTGCTTTGTATTAGTGAAGTTGATGAAAGAAAAAAGAAATTATACGAATTTAGACAGCAAACTCCTTTTTAATTTATATCTCCATATAAAATGTTATAAACTCCCTAATCTAATTTCAGGTGTTATTTTGTCCGATTACTGATAAAAAGAAATTTCAAACAGAATTTGACAAATAATTTACAATACTATTTGAGAGAGGACTTACTAAAACAAAATATTCGATTGTCTGACAATGACACGTGGTAGACAACTCATATCATGAAGTCAAGAAAACCATGGATTCCGCATCTATCTCTGTCGAGTTGAAGAGTCAATGTTCAAAATTAGACTACCGTGTGTGTACACATATTAATTAATGTATCACGGACTTTTAAGATGCATACTACGTTTTTTAATTTTTTTTTCTCCAATTACATAATATTTTTAGTTTTATATAAACTATTAATTGTTACAAAAAAACAAATAAACTATTAATTGTTATGATATATGACTTATTATATTTTGTATTTACTTCTTTATTATTATGATTAGTTAAGCTTTTTTAGTGATAAATTAGTCCTTAAAGTTTTTTATAATTTTGTTTTATATCTAAAAATATTCAATATTTATTTTTTATACTTTGAGGAATTATTAATATTTTAATAATACAATTATAAGTTTATATAAATTATTATATCTCTTTAAGAAAACTAAACTTATATGTATATAATGAAGATAGTTCAAAAAGTTCTGTTTGGGTAAAAATTGTAATTTTTATGAAATAATTATTTTTTTGAAATTAATAATAAGTAGTAATAAATTAATACTTTAAAAATACAATTATATATATATATATATATATATAAGTTCTTATATCTTTTTAGAAACTAAACTTACATGTAAATAATGAAATTTAGTTCAAAAAATTCTATTTAGGTAAAATTTTGTAAGTTTTATAAGATAATAAACATTTTAGAATTAATAATAAC